TGTTAAGGGATCAGGTGTCAGGCATCAAAGAACAAAAAATCGTATCATTGTAAATGAGGGTGAGTGCAGAGTGGAGACCCAAAGCCCATCTGTAAGCAGCTGGACACCCCCTTACAGAAGGGTTGCAGGAAGGAGATGAGCCAGTCAGGGTGCAGGGTAGCAATGATCAAATATACAACTTTCTCCTAGTTCTTAAATGCTCCCCCCCTCCCCCAACTATCATGATCCCAATTCTACCTTACAAATCCAGCTAGACCAGAGGGTGTACATTGGTACAGATAGGAACCGGAAACACAGGGAATCCAGGACAGATGATCCCTTCCAGACCAGTGCTGAGAGTGGTGATACCGGGAGGGTGGTGGGAGGGTGGGGTAGAAAAGGGGAAGCGATTACAAAGATCTACATATAACCTCCTCCCTGGGTGATGGACAACAGAAAAGTGTGTGAAGGGAGATGTTGAACAGTGTAAGATATGACAAAATAATAATTTATAAATTATCGAGGGAGGGGGGAGGGGGGAGGGGGAAATTGAGGACCTGATGCCGGGGGCTTAAGTGGAGAGCAAATGTTTTGAGAATGACAAGGGCAATGAATGTAAAAATGTGCTTTACACAATTGATGTATGTATGGATTGTGATGAGTCGTATGAGCCCCTAATAAAATGATTAAAAACAAAAGGGTCTTCTCCGGACCACACTCATAATATGGCAGGTCAAGATATAACAACACCTGGAACAAAGAAAGTAGTTGCTGGGGAAAAAAGAAAAGAATACTGGTTCTCTTAGGAGACCTAACTGTGCCCCCCTGGCTTCCAGTAGGGTCTCTTATGACCAGCTGGCCCAGATCCTCCGGCCTCCACAGATTTTTATTTTTATTTTCTTTGCTGTTCAGATATGGACATCCCTATGTCCACGGATCTCGAAGCATGAAGGTTCATGCTCATTAGTACCATGAGCTTCCAGGGTGAAGGATGCCATCTCCTCTTCTTGACACCTCTGGGGACTAACTCTTTATCTGGTCGGAGTTGGTCCTAAAACCCAGAAGTATGATGAGTGAGGAAACGGTAGTTTGTTCCCAGCCTTTTCTTCTAGAACTAGCAGTCTTTGTTGCTCGTCAAAGGGGTGGCCCGTGCTTGTTTCCTCTTCCTAGCTCCTGGTGATCTTATGATGTGACACTGCTCTTATCTAGTGAGTAACCGTTTGGTTTGTGACTGAACATCGGTCATCAAAGCAACAACAAAAATTATTTATGTTTTGCCCATTTGTAGTCTACATCGGCTGATCTTTCTCACAGCGACGCACCCTCTAGCAGTGGCTCCGTGGGAACAAGTAGGACTTCACAGAAAAGTAAGAGCGACTGTCTTGTTTCATCTGACTCTGTTCAACCTGGGGCTGAGACACCCCCTGCAGCTGCAGGGTCCCTCACTGAGTATCCCCCTGTCCTTGTCTTGGACGGCCCTCCTCCCTGGCTGTGTTTCTTTTGGGACTCTCTAGCACCCTATCTCCTGCTGAGTGTCCTGACAGTGCTTGGCAGATGGGAATCTACAGGCATTGAGAAGCCAATTTTCAGGTTCTTTCAGTTCACTGAAGAATTTTGGGGGGGGAAGAAATTCCCTTATGTGTTTCCGAGGCTGTACATCTTTATGGAAGTACAACGACTCATCTTTCTCTTGTGAGTGTTTGGTGGTTTGGAACTGCTGACCTTGTGTTTAGCAGCCCAATGCATAACCCACTGCACCAGCTACCAGGGCTTCTCAGGCTGTGGCTGTGCTACAGAAATGCCAGGGCTGTGCAGGATGTTGGGAAGGGACAGTTGCCCCTCATCACTGGGGGTGGAGCAGGGCGTAGGGACGGAAAACTTTCTTTATAGCCAAGATGGGACTCAGATCAGCCCTGACTTCAGTTAAGAAATAAGTCTAACTCAGGATCTGTGATTTCTAGCAAAGTATTTAATGCTTCCTTCACATTTTTAATTGTTAGGTGGAACGCATCTGGGAAGTCTTATTTGTCTTTCAGCAATGTGTGCAAGTTTTAATGAAAACCATAAAAACCTTAGCTTTGCTTGTAGGTGTATTTGGATGTCATACTTGTCAGTCCTGTCAGTAGAGTGAGAGATGAGATGTTACCGAGTTGTCTTGCTGTAATAGGCGAAGATGACAGCACAGCTGCTGGTGATGCTGGCCCTACCCTCCTGGGAAGAGATGGGAGACTCAGGCGGGACCTCGTGGATGCCAGTGTTTGTACCAGAGAGAAACTAGCACATGTGAGAGACTGCAAAACAGGTATCCAGCCTCTATGGTACTTACTTTCTGAATGTGACCAAATCTTGCTTAAGAAATTTTGAGATATAAATCTAAGAGAAATCAGTTCATGCCTCAGTTAAGAGATACTTATTGGGGGACAGACAACCGAAAAGTGGATGAAGGGAGACGTCGGACAGGGCAAGATATGACAAAATACCCATTTATAAACTATCAAGGGCTCATGCGGGAGGGGGGAGCGGGGAGGGAGGGGAAAAATGAGGACCTAATGTTGGGGGTTTAAATGGAGAGAAAATGTTTTGAGAAACGATGTACAAATGCGCTTTACACAATTGATGTGTGTATGGATTGGGATAACAGTTGTATGAGCCCTAAATAAATGTTTAAAAAAAAAAAAAGAAAGTGGAGAGAATATAACCTTTTGGGGTGACGATGAGGCCATCAATAAAACAGTGGACATGTATGATCTGGGGAAAAAAAAGAGATACTTATTGAACACCTGCTACATCTAAGGCATGGTCTGGACACTTTGGCTTCTTTGGCTTTTATTTATTTATTTTAACAGTTTTGTTGACAAATAAGAGTGCTGGTGGCATAGTGATCAACCCTATGCTCCTAAAGGCCAGCAGTTTGTAAAGAGTTACAGTCTCTGAAACCCAAAGGGGCTGTCCAATAGGGTCGCTGTGAGTCGGAATCGACCCGATGGCTGTGAGTTTGGTTTTATTGACACATAATTTTCACACCATATAATTCGGTGGTTAAATGTTAACACATTTTCTTTGTTTCTTTACTCAGTATTATTAGCTCCCCAGGTTTCTGTGGCTTTAAGACTCTCTCTTATGAACACAAATAATAACATTTCCCCCCAAGTCACATCTCACTTGCTGAAAGGACTTTGTCCTGATACCTGGTGTGAGGATTAAAAAGGTGCTTCATGTCTGTCTCTGTCCTTTTCTTGGATGGGGAATATTAATACCTTCTCTTGGCTTCAGCTGCAGAAAGAAAGACAGGGCCTAACTCGGGAATTCTTCACCAGGAGGTCAGACCTGCCCCTGAAATGACGCACAGCGTGTGGGCACTGCATTGTCTTTCTGGGCAGTGAAACAGTTGTTTTCATTGGATCCTCAGCAGAAAGCTGTGCGGTTCCCTCTCAAAAGTTGACCTCAGGGGTGCAGATCAGCCTTTTCCGAGCATCTTCTTTAAACCATGCAGCACAATAAGAAATCGGTATAGAAACGGGCTTCAAAAAGTATGTGGAAAATGGAATGAAAAGATAACTTTTTGAAGCTCCCACTTATTATCACCTATTATACTATAATAATAGTTATTATTATTAGCGTGCACACACACATACACACAACAAAGGCATTTAACTTTACTAATGGGAGTCATTCTGATCCATTCTATTGAACTCTAGTGCTTCATAAACAATGCTGGTTCCACTCACCTAACTTCATGACCACCCCACGAATACATCACAGCTGCAGGTTGAAAGCACTTCCACGCATGACCGCTAAGGGTCATGCCTGCCCTGACATTGTGAGATGGTTCATTAGTATGAACAAGTAAGGAAAATGTTCCTCAGCATGTGGAAGCATAAAAGAAAACGTGGTTAATTAGAATAGCATTGTGATCCCTCTCACCATTCAAGAGCGTGCCATGGATCAAGTCTGGGGGAACGCTGAGGCCTACATGTTACAATTTTCCCCTCACCACTCCAAGGACTCCTGCCTCATTTCTTCCACGTGGAGAGCAAAATGGCACCTAGTTGAGATGATTCTTTTCTATAAGATCGTTTCCTGAACGATTCTCTGCAGTGGTCCTCAGCCTTCTAAATGCCACGACCCTTTAATACAGTGCTCATGTTGTGGTGACCCCCCTGAACAATAAAATTTTTTTTGTTGCTCCTTCATCACTGTAATTTTGTTACTGTTATGAATTGGGCGACCCCTGTGAAAAGGGTCATTCGACCCCCAGGTTGAGAATCGCTGCTCTGCAGGAACAGGCAAGAAGTCCCTTGCCTGTGCGCTCCTCGGTTCTTTTAAGATGTGCATACAAAGATGGACCTCCTGAAGCACACATGGCTCCCAGAGGAAACTGTTTCCACATAGGAACACGGGATAGTGCTTCCACACTGCCGTCAAGACCCACTGCCCGCGGACTCGATGCTGACGCTGTTCACCCTGTTGGACAGAGCAGACCGAACTACTTACTCTACAGGGCTTCTTCTCGCCTCATCTCGCTCCCGTGGAGCAGCGGGAGCGTTCGAACTGTTGATCTTCGGTTCACAGCCCACACTGAGGCAGGGCTCCTCCCGCTCTCCTCAGCCCCCCTCAAGCGCCGAAGCCTCTTCTGGTCCATACATAGTAGTCTAGCCACTGGTGTAAAGACTATGTTTTCATGCAAAACAAATTTTCGGAAGTGTGCCAAACCATTTTCTTTCTTTATTGTGGTGGTGTGTGCGTGGTAGTCGTCGGTACGTGCCATCGAGTCGGCGCCCACTCAGACCCTGCGCCCCACAGAAGGAACGAAGCCCGGCCCAGGCCGGTGCGTCCAAAGGGCCATTCGCGAGCCCGAGCCCTTTGTTGCAATGACACCAGACGCCCATCAGGGGGCTTCAAAAGGCTTGTGGGAAAATGGGATGCACAATGAACGGACGCACTGCTGTCCCGTTGGGTGCGCTTCCCCGTAGCCCGATGGGGCGGAGCAGAAATGCCCCGCAGGGGTCCTTGCAGAAAGCACACTGTCTGGTCTCTCTCGGTCCGAGTGGCGGACGGGTACGCACGGCGGCCCTTCCCGCTAGCGGCCCAACACTTAGCCTCTGTGCCACCACGGCTCCATCTATGCATGAGGCGGCTTCAGGAAGTTTCGTGGAAAAATGGAAGTCAAAGAGAGTGGCATTTTTCCCCATGGAAAATTTGAGATCGATTGGTCTATCTGTCTCACAACACATTTGGCATTTTAATCCATTGTATGTGTATAGTTCAACGACCCGAATTACGTGTCCCACGATCTGCAACCAGGACTCCCTGCCTCCACAGTCTTCCATCATTCTTCTCAGAAACGCACTATGGCGCACCTGTTTTGCTTTGTTTAAGCTTCTTTTCGTTTTGCTCTTGAGGAAGTACACAGCAAAACAGAAGCCAATTCAGGACCGTCTTCCTGTAGTCCAGGACGCTGTGATGACACTCTTCAGGCGGTGGGAAAGTTCTCACCCTCCTTCTGCCCACCCCACTCACCTGGGCTCCGGGGTCCCTGAGCTTCCCAGCTGATCTCTTGCCAATTTGATTCACATGGGTAGTTCTTACAAGAACATACTGCTAAAGGCAGACATGCTTTATAATTACGCTCGATTGTGGTTTCTTTTGAAAGAGGTTTCACGGGATAGTTTCGCTTTAAGGTTTAAAGACTATCTCTTGTCCCAGACTCAGTGACTTCGAACTTGGGGCCGTGGACTCAATTCTGTAAAGATTTACAGCCAATAACTCCGGAAGGTCTGAATTCACACAATGCCTAACTTTTGTTTAACTTTTGGTTGACTTTTGTACGATCAGGAGCTTGGTATGGCATTCATTGTAAGAACTACACAGTTTCTTTCTAGCCACTTGAGCGTATTTCTCAAGCTGATTTGAATTGCAGAGAATCAGAGCTAGAGGAAAGTTCTAGAAGGAGTTCTGGGCCTGCTGGATTTGGAAACATTTCTCCTCTCAGCGATAAGAACACCTGTGTCTGCTCTGATTTCTTATGGGCCTGCTTTATACAAGACTCCCTTTCAAGCTCCGCCCTTACGTGTTAGGCTGAAATTTATAGGAGTGGTTCTGTGTTGTGGAAGAAGCATTCTGGCTTTACTGGAACTACTGTATCTTTCTTAATGATGCAATTAGTAATAGTATGGTGTGATGAAAAAATTATTTTTATTTATCTTTTTCAGGGTCTAGTGGAATACCTGTGACACTGGTCACAAATCTCTTTACTATCGATTTGCCCCAGGACTGGCAGCTATACCAGTATAATGTGACATACACTCCAAATTTGGAATCTAGAAAACTGAGAACTGCTTTGCTTTACGGTCATCGTGAACTTTCTAGCAAAGCAAAAGTATTCGATGGTGCCATCCTTTTTCTGTCACAAAAGCTAGAAGAAGAGGTAGCGTATAATTAAGTTTTCATTATATTCCTATCTACGTGTGTGTCTGTGGAAAATATATGAGTTTCAAAGAGATCGAGGAAAAACAGGATGAAAAGATCTTGGAATTTTGCCACAAAATTTTTGAAGCTCCCTTGATGTATTGTGTAATGAATATGTATTATTCATATATTTTGTATGTCTAGATACACATCTTTTATAAGGATATATATACACATATGGATATGTGTATGTGTGTATATATTTATATAGATATACAAACACAGAGAGAGAGAATGTGTGTGTATGTGTGTGCACTTGATAACCCTGGTTGTGTTTGACTACTAACTGAAAGGTCAGTGGTTTGAATCCCCCACCCACTCGCCCATAGAAGGGAGATGTGGCAGAAGGAAAGATAATGGCTTCTCTAAGGATTGTAGCCTTAGAAACCATGGGGCAGTTCTACCATGTTTTACAAGGTCCCCGTGAGTCGGACTTGACTTGTGCCAATGGATAGATGTGATATATATACTCTGTCAAGTCAGCAAGAACCCCTGGGGACGTCTTCTACAACAGAACGAAACTGCCTAGTTCCGTGCCCTTTTCATGAGTGCTGGCATGGTGGAGTGCAGTCAGACAATATTCTGATCCCTAGAGGTTTCATTGACGAATTTTCAGAACTCATTAGCCAGATCTTCCTTCCTAATCTGTCTTAGTCTGGCAACTACTGAAACCTGTCCATCATGATGAACCTGCTGGTAATTTGAATACCGGTAGCAGTTTCCAGTATCACAGCAACACAAAAGCCACCACTGTGTGACAGACTGACATACAAGCGGTGGACACACACACACACACGTAAAAGTTTAACTGATTCATGTGACAGTTGGAATGAGTGTCATTCCTTTCTTCTTTCCTATCCTCCTGCTGAGAGCTAGACGTCTCCCTAATTAAGACCTCCTCAATAGTTTATCTTCTAATTTAGGAGCTGATTGTCTTGCATTTTAAAATAAGACCCTTTATACAAACACTACGTTTTCGGCGACTTTTATTTGAGGCAGTGTCCTGGTTTCCTAAAATAAACTAGACTTCAAGAAAGACCATTGAGCCGGCGGCTTCAGAACTTCCAACTTCTTGCTTGATTTGCTCCTGCAGAGGGGCACCTCTGCTTCCAAGTAACTTGACATCAACCACTGATCCCCAGACTGTCACTTCCTTCACGGCTGTGCCATCTTCCTGTACTCTAGTCTAGGAAGTGCGAGTTACCGATACCATGCTTTAGAGTGTTTTAAAAATGGTGCTGCCATGGGAGCTGGGGGTCCTAGTGGCCCTGTAAGTTAGAAATTGAGTTTTTAACCCCAACTTGATGGTTCAAGCCCATCAGCCACTCCCTAGGAGAGATAGGAGACTGTCCACAACCATAAGGACTTTTCTTAGAAACCGTACATAGGGTCACTGTAAACTAGGATTGACCCGATGGAGGCGAATTGGTGGTCCATTCGATTAGTGATTGAGTGTTATATTCCTTTATTCATTTTAACACTTTTAATATTTCTAAGCCTGAAATAAAATGTGAGAGTTTACTATTTAGTTATTTGATTCTTCCTAAAGGAAAACGAAGGCTACATGTAGAAAAAGAATCCAATTTCTATCAAAAAATTAGCACAGCCTGTGGTATTAAAACTTCAGGCTTCCTCTGTGCTTGCAAAGTTTAATCCTTTAGGACAGCACTTTGAATGGGATGACCCCATTATCACAAATGTGAATTTCTATATTCTAGGCCTATCTTTGTGCATTTCTATAATCTAGGCCTATCTTTGTGCATTTCTTCAGCAATATCTTTGCGAAGTATGTTTCTGAGCAGCATTCTCAGAGCCAGGGGTGGGGGCACTAGCTCTTTTATTAGAGCTGAGACTTATAGGCACACTACTTGAGTTCATTCCATTGGATATGGAACTTTAAAATCAAACCATATAGTTAAATGTAACTGAATATCTGGACCTGTACTTTTGGACACATTTTTATTCGCCTTTAGTCCTTATTGATTCCTCAGTATTTTATCATATGATTCCCCCAACATTAATAACATGCCTTTCATCTTCAGTGACATAGGAGGGGTTGCTCCTTGCCCCTCAAATGAAATTGGGCTGGGCAGAGCAGAACTTTCGTAGTACACATCTTTCCCACTAGGTGAGCTTTGAGCAACTCACTCTGAGTTGTGTACCCAGTGGCTTCCCCTGGGGAGGTTCTGGTCACAGTGAATTTTTTCATAAAACCAGTTGCACTCAAACCTTGTTTTTTGTGATGGCCAATTTGCACCTGTGGAATTTTGTTTCCTGCTTGGTAAAAATGCTGCAGAAACTGTGATGTTGAACACAGCTTACAAGGACAGCGCTATGGGAAAAACTCAAGTGTACAAGTGGTTTTCTCATTTCAAAAAAAGATGAAATATCAATGGTGACAAACCTACTTCTGAACATCTGTCAACTTCCAGAACGGACAAAAATGTCTACTCATAGTGCATTTGGAATTCATTCCACCAGGCCAGACTGTTAATCAAGCTTTCTATTTAGAGGTTTTGAAAAGATTGCGTAATAGTGTGTGACCAAAAAAGCATGATATGTGGCAGACAGGGGACTGGTTTTGCCTTCAAAACAATGCACCTGCTCACGCAGCCATCTCAGTGTGCCAGTTTTTGGTGAAAAAACAGCATGCCTCTCTTGCTCCATGCACTTTACTCACTTGACCTTCCTCTGTGTGACTTCCTTTTGTTACCGTGAATGAAGAGGGACATGAAAGGACAGTGATTTAACGACATAGAAGATGTGAGGGGAAAAATGAGGAGGTGCTGTCAGCCATCCAAACAGATGAGTTTGAAAAATGCTTCCAAGGATGGAATTGCAGATTTGACAAATGGATGAGGTGTAATGGCGAGTACTTTGAAGGTGATAAGGTTGTTTTGTTAAAAAAAATTTAAATACATAACTTTGGAGACAAAACTTCCCCCCCACCTTTTTTGGTATCCCTTCATATTCCTGCTTCATAGTCTGTTCTTAATTTGGAAGCTGAGGTAGTTAATTTATTGTGCCAACCTGGCCGATAAACACATGTGGGATTAATTAAAAGGCAGAGAGATA